ACACACACACACACACACACACACACACACACACACACAGAGATTTGAAGATACTGACCTTGAAGATTAGAGTGGTGAAGTCACCAACCACCACAAACTGAAGACACAAAGAATTCTACACTAATGCCTTCAGAAGAAGCACAGCGCTACTGACACCTGAATTTCGGTGCAGTAATACTGATTTTGGATATCTGGCATCCAAAACTGTAAGAGATTAAATTTTTATTGTTTTGAGCTACCAAATGTATTAGACACATTCTTGTTGTTGGGACAAAACAGCTAATACTTGCAACTTAAAGGAGCACTTATTTTGGCTTAGAGTTTCAGTGAGTTCGGTTCACTTGCAGAACTTCATGGTGAAGGAAAGCTGTTTATCACGTAGTGGACAGGAAGCAAAAAAAAAAAAAATGATATGAACCAGGAATGAGAATAAATCCTTTCACATCACACCTCCAGTGTCCTGATCCTTCCATCTATGACTCACCTCCGAATGAGATTTTGGGAGGGCATTTTAGATCTAACCATAATTCCAAGTTTGTGTTAATTTGATACAGCAGTCAGGGGGCACTAATACAGGCCACTTAATGCAAGCATAACAGCAGGAAAAGGGCAAAGGAGATTCTTCCACCAAATTATAGAGGCTCCAAAGCCATTTCCTTGAGACATGTGGCCAAGTAGGTTTTGTAATGGCACAATACCTGTGTGTCACTCCCTTAAGTTTACAATCAGGAAGGCAATATAAGATGCATAAATATTGACAAGATGGGGATGTTTTAGGACTGGAGCCAGAGTCAGGGGCTTAGCTCAGGGCCCTTCCTTCCTAGCTGCTATCCACAGATCCCTGCTTTCCTTACAGCTTTGTGTTTAGTAGGCATCTTTTCATCGCTTGGCTGTGAAAGCAGTATGATAGAACAAGGTAAATGATACTCTTTTTCTGCTGCAGCATTTCTTAAACTGAGTACACAGATATACCTTCTTGATCCAGAGCAAAATTCTTGAACAGACTACACAGCCTCCTGTCACAAAATCAGTAATGAAGCCCTGGCAGTGAGAATACAAGTACCTATGGCCACACACAGGAGTGGGTCTGCCAGACAGCCAGTGCATGGTCCCAAACAGTGTAAATGTGACATCCAGGGCCCAGGTGTTCTTGCTGAGCTGATGATCGTTTCTACAGTGGATGCTTCTGCCTTCTACACTGTCACACTTCTGGGAAAGAAAAAACTTCATCCTTTTCCCCAGCTTCTGTTGTTGTACTGGAATCATAACTTGAAGATTATACATGAGAAAAATGATCAAAGGATAAGCAATTTGGCAAGTCTTTCTACAGCTTTGCCAATTGGTAGAATTTTATGATTCTACTTAAGCTGTTTTTTTTTCCTTTCTCTTGGCATCTGTTTCCAAATGTGTGAGTTCCTTTGAGACTACTTTTCTTCATGATTAATGCCAAGACTCCCAGCTTGTGATCATTAAAAATCAGCAAAATTAGCAGGTCAAGTCTGATTTGACTCAGTTCAAATCTCAAGCTAAAGATGTACCTTTCAGAAAAAGATATATTATTGGTACAATAGTGTCTTCTGAACCTACAAAATAAAATGTTTCCTCTTGTTTTGTTTCCATACCCAAGATGATGTGTGCACACACACAAACACAACGCACAAACCTATATATATATATATATATACACACACTCACACACTCATGCATACACACATTTATAAATGTGTGTTTAAAATAAATGATTCCTGTATTTAGAGGATTACTTGGCCCCAGCTGGTTAATTTTATTGAAATTTCATTTAAAAAATTATTTTGTTCTTATGCTGTAAATATAGTCCCTTTCTTGTATCCATAATTGTTTATTTAATCCATCTTGGATAAAATAATTAAAAACCCTTAGTAAAAGCATAAATTAGAAAATTAAGCAGTGTTCTATCATGCAGTTTATCTACATTGAAAGAGATAAAGCTCTAGCTCAGCCAGAGACTTTAACCGCTAAAAATGTTAATTATACACATACAGTTAAACATTTTAAAAATGCATTCTGAAGTATGAGGCAATAAGCTAAACAGGTTCTATGAAATATTCAGACACAGTGGTTGGCTTTTTAAAAGTCCTTCTTACTTGTGATCACATTTCAGCTTCCACAAGTGTTTATGAAGTAGTCAGGAGAGGGTTATGAATATTAACTCCAAGTGCTGTGTGAGGAGATAAGAATTTAAAGAAATTCAGTGCTATGTGCTAGAAGAAAAAGGATGGAGAAGAAACTAGTAATTTTTAACCATCCACTCTTTTCCAAGCCCTTTGTATAACATCATATCATGTAAAACTGTCAGCCACTCAGATAGGTCGATATTTTAAATCTCATTATACAGAGGAGGACACTAAGGCCATCATGACTTTGCAAGGTCACTTGGCTATAAATGATTGAGTTTGGATTTGAGCCCAGATCTGTCAGCTGAGAAGCCTGGCTGTCCTACTCCACCACACTGCTGCCCAGAATCTCAGAATGAGCAAAGTTCAGAATGAACAACCTGCTCCCAAATTTAAAATATTCCTCTCATTGGAATACAGTGAAAGTTTATGAACAAGCAGGAAAGTCTGACTCCAAAATGAGGTCATGTGTACAAAATTCACAAAAGAATTAAAGAAATTAAGTTACTGTTCTTTTTAATGTATAAATAATAAATGAACATTAATTTTTGCAGTCTTAGCCCAGTAGTTCCCTTGGATAGAGACTTCAAATTGTAATATCTTCCTCTGTCATCGAATTTACATGATATCTGAAAAGTTCATACTCAACATTCAGGGCTGTCACTTCATCTCCCAAAAGGGTTTCATGTGCAATGTTTAATCTTTTTTATTTCTCAATTGTTTTTCTTCATTAATATCTTGTTTTTACATCCAATTTTGACATTCTTTGCTCTTCTCCAAAGGACTTTCCAGTAGAATTTTTTTAAGTATTTAATAAAAGATCCTGATTATCTAAACCTAAAAAAAAATATATTATGCATCCAATGACTTTCAGGATGGAAGTCTTGCATAGCATGTACCAGGATAGAGTAAGCCTGTCAAGAAAGAAATTCTTTGGAATTAAAGTGTATCTGATTGCAGAAAGAGGTCATTTAAGTCTTTGCTCTCTACTAACTTTTCTCTGAACTTTTGTTTTCATCAAAGCAAAACTCTGCAAGGCTTAACTGTTATAGTACACTGTAATTATATCTAAAGTGCTCAGTAAACATCTGATGTTCATTCAACTCTGGCAACTGTATATAGGTTTTGATGCAGGAAAACATGGCAATGGTTTAAAGCAAAGTTTTCCACCCTCAGCACTATGAACAGTTTGAGCTGAACACTTCTTTCTTTGGGGGACTATTCTGTGCATTGTAAGAAGTTTCACAGCATCTGTGTCCTTAATCACTAGATGTTGGCTCTAACTTTCATAGTTCTCTTTGTGACAACCAAAAAATGTCTGTAGACAATACCAAATACCCATGGGGAGGGAATGTGGGAATCTCCATTGGTTGAGAACTTGCAATCTAAATAAAAGGAATGGGATCACCAAGATTGCAGAAAACTGATGAAATCAGGGAGAGGACTAAACGTGGTGTATTCATGGAACCAGAACATAAGACATAGGAGGTCGGAGTAATGGATGGCAGTCAGAATATGGAGGTATGCTATATATAAAGCATGGAAGGAAAAAGAACTTATATTGTTAAGGAATATAGAATATAATTGAATTGGTCAATTGCACTATCTTTCATTAAAATTCTTTTATAGAAGAAAATTAGTACAAACAAAGATAACAATTATGAAAGTTGATTTTTTTTTAATGGAAAATGCTGTGATGAGAAAGAGATTGACAAATTCAGATCTGGACTCTAAGTTTATCTGAGTAATGAGCTCAGAAAGAGTAAAGTGACCTGGTCCATTGGTGGTCAAGCTGCCTGGGCAAGCACTGCCATAAAAAGATTGGGTAGAAGCTTAAGCACGTATAAAGGGACTTCCAGGGGGACTGGAGAAAACTTTAAAAAAAAAAGAGAGAAAACAAGAAGGTCCATTATCACTTTGTGATATTGCAGCTGAAAACCCTGTAACAGGTAATTAGATAAATTAGGCTTTCAGTCAGTTCAGATTAAGGCCTTTTGAGAATGACATTTATATATTCAGTAGTGTGCCTGGCTTCTCTTGGAAATGTCAAAGGTAAGACAAAGTAATTAGATTAATACAGTGGGCATTTATTTGCTTTCACATCATTCCTTCACAGTACCAGCTCTTTAGCCCCACATGACAGCCAGATATTAAACACCAAGATTAAACACATAATTTTAATTACTTATTAACTGAGCAATATAATAGGATTGAGAAAAAGCTTCCTTCTAATATTTTAATTTGAAATTTAAAGTATGGGAATCAAAATAAATTCTACTCAAGTAAATCCAATATATAATAAACAAAAACAATACAAAGTTTTATCTTCTTTACAATACCAACAGTCAGTACTATCTCAAGGTCAGGAGGCTTTCTTAAAATCAGAAGTGAAAGGCTTTCCACAGTATACTGTTTCCCCTAGGAAATTAGAAGGACCTCACTGTATTACGATACAGAGAGATGCTGTCCATAGAAGCAAAGGTGAATTCAAACTACACTGAGAAGGGTTTTTCTTAATTTTTTTTTTTTTTTTTTTTTTTTTGGTCTTTTTGCATTGGGAAGATTTGCACAGTGACAGGGAAGGAAGAAAAGAGAGCGCTCCCTGCCATTTTCAAAAACATTCCATGAAACCAGTGAGCCACATCCTGAAACTCTGAGTCAATCACTCACAGATAATGGGCACCTATTTGTTTGTCCTCAGAGAATATTAATTTAGCCAACAGTTTCAACTAATAAATTCAAGAGCAGCTGAATCAAGAATACTGATTTAGACAAGTTTAAACTGCTTAACTTGTTAAGAACAGCTAACGAGAAATTGTCTTATTTAAATATCTTCTTTCTACTCTTTCTTATTAAATAAACCATTAAATTGTTGACAATTAGACTGCAGGAGATAAGAAGGCAAAACTGAAGGTAGTGCCCCTAAGTGATCATTTTCTAAATACAAGGTATAATTGAAATATACTGTGTTTAAATTTTCAGTATTTCTTACAGTAAAAGACACATTACCTTTAACCACCCCCACAAATACTACACATTTCTTTAACTATGCTTACCTCATTGTTCTTAACACTTTCTGAAGCAGTTCTAGAAGTCCTTTTCCGTGAGTGTCTTTAGTTGCACTGTCGTGGCTGCTTCAAAGTCTTGAATTCACTGACAACAACACTTATCTTTCATGGTCATATTGACTTTGGGTAACAGCCAGAAGTCACGCGGTGCCAGATCTGGTGAATAAGATGGATGAAGACATGATGTGCAATTATCATAAGTCTGAATGGCACTTTCTGCTGAGTGGCACTGAGCAGCAGCATTCATTGTGCGTTGGTTCCTCTATTCATGAATGCTTTTGTTTGTGAACAATTTGGTTTGCGAACAGAAGCATTTGGCAAATTTTTGTTTTTGTTTTCGAACTCGGCATTGGGTAACCAACACAGATGCAGCCATCTTTCCTGCATGAGCACAAATGTGGCCATGTTGTCCAGAATCATGGGACAAGTTAAGTATGTAAATTGAAATATCATTGTACTTTTTTACCATAATTGCAAAGATATTCATGAAAGAGTACTTCCAGAACTGCTTCAGAAAGTGGCAAGAGCAATGGAATAAATGTGTTTGAAGTAGGGGGGATTGTTTTGAGGGGAATTAATGGCAATGTGTTTTAGTAATGTTTTAAAACATTCACCATATATTCCAATTAAATGTCATAAGTAAAACTGGGTACAATGTGTTTGTACCTGCTTCACACTGAAATAGAAAAACATTTGATTAAGAGCCAGGAAACCTAGAGATTAATTGGATTCTTTTAATACCAACAGTCAAAATAACATTAAATCATAACAAATGATTGAGCAGTTATGTATGAGGCTTTATACAAAGCACTTCACATGAACTGACCATTGATTAAATCCACAGTACTCCTATGAAGTTGATATTGTTACACTCATTTAACAGATGAAAAAACAAGACTTTAAACAGTTTGAAGTTCCACAGAAACTACCTGGTCTTCAGTTTTATGGACAGAAAGAGGACATACATATTGTTTTTTATGGAAAAGCATGTTTGTTTAACAACTTCTGGTGCCCAGTGTTCCACTGGACTTGGGCTGTGGTTGAACCAGGTACTGTGGCCCTGTCAGTAGAATACTTCTTAGAAGGCAGTTTTACCAACAACCTCCCACCTTGCAATCCGTAACTCTCACCTGCTTTCTCTTTTCATGGTCAAATGAATGCTGCTATGATTTCAGTGATCTTTCCCTGTGTTCATGTTTGCCTACAGGTGGTGGGCAGGGGAGTGGGAAGCATGTTCAACAACATGTGGGCCCTACGGAGAGAAGAGGCGAACAGTGCTGTGCATCCAGACCATGGGCTCTGATGAGCAAGCTCTCCCAGCTACAGACTGCCAGCACCTGCTGAAGCCCAAGGCCCTCAGTTCCTGTAACAGAGATGTTCTGTGTCCATCGGACTGGACGGTGGGCAACTGGAGTGAGGTGAGCTCAAGGCTTAGAAGGAAAACTGGCATTATTCATACTTCATCTTTACCAATGCCTCTTTCCCAATTCCTGTAATCCAAAGTGAGCTAAGGGAAACTTGCACAATAAGACAGCAGATATCACCTCTGGCCTATTTCCTGCATTTCCCACTGCTCATTATCTTTTCTTCTATTCTTATAGGATCTTCCTTGCAACCGCCCCAGCAATCAGTTACTCACAGAGATAAAGTGGCACTCCACTAGAACAGGCTTGTGGCAGCCAATTGCTAAATTGTCAGGATTTTTGCTGGCCCATTGTTAAACCATCCATAACAAACCAGGGCTCCTCCTCCCACCCCGAAAACCAGTTTGTTAAACACTTACCAGTACACCATATGGTTAACTAAAACCAAAGGAGTGTTGCTGTAGGTGGAATGATGAATGTACTGAACACTCAGAGAAGCTCATTCATCTATCTAGCACATATTTAAGATCTGTTATTAGCCATATAAATTCAAATAAGCATTGAATTTTCCCAAAGTTAATTCGATCTACTCTAAGTATAGTTAAAAATCAGAGGGCAAGAAGGCTATGAAAAGTTCCCATACTCACTTTCTGTGGGTACCATAGACCCTGGTTGTATCATACCTTTTTGTTTTCCCAGAGTGATTAGAGAAAGTAAAGCTTTTCTTTCTCCAAGATGCCTGGAGTCTCCAAAGGGCTTATCTCTGCTTCCTTTGTGCATTTCAATCAATGATCTAAGGAATGACTTTCTAGTCATTTATTTTCTAATAAATAATCTTTAAACATCAACAGGCCAGAATTTTGAGATAAATGCTCCCCCCCGTTTTGAGTTTCCTTGAGAAGTTATGTTTTGCCTATAATCATGTTACCATTGACCAGCAAATTGCAGAAACCCATCTGAGGACTGACTCTCAGTAAAAAAGGAAAATGTTCAATTGCCACAAAAAAATACAATTGAGACTCTGATGAATACATGAGCAATATGATCAACTGGGATAATACCTTTGTGTTTAAAAGTATTATTTGAATATAAATAAAAGACATTGCTTTGCATGTATAGTTTATAAGGTTTCTCTAAAAGCACTTCCTAAAGAGGAATTCTATAATTTGTATAAACAAAGCTAACCTCTCTAAAGATACCAATTTGAAGGCAGAGCACTGAAAATAGCAGCTTGATAACCTTATTTTCAAGACTGTTTCATTACCTCAAAATCATAAGTTAGCTAACGAATTAGCCTCTAATTCTGTGCAGGATGTTCTGTTGGGCATCTGGGTGAAAATAAAGAAGTGAAAACATGATACATATACTATAAAATCTTTCTATCAAATGGAAGAAATTAACACCCCCCCAAAAAAAAGAAAGGAAAAAAAATGAAAAGACAAAGGTATTCACGTAAAGAAAATAGAACTACCAACTAATACAGATATATGATGGGTTTATGACTGTTGTATGTGCACATATCACCAATAAACTAGAATATCTCCCTAGTATTTACTGGAGAAAGTAATCATAGCATACTGCTAGCCTGGCCTATTAGTCCACAACCAATCTAGATTGCTGTAAATTACAGTGTTGTCAAAATAAGGCTGAATGGTGTATTGTGACTGATCTATTAAATCTGTTTACCAAAAGTGTGTTGGCTGCATCCAAAACAGTTAATAATTCTTGTCATGTAGAATTTACTAATTGCCAAAGTCTTACTCCTTTTTAAAGGACTGTAATTATAGATTTGGTTGAGGCATTCTTATTGTGTTCATATGTATGCAGAACATAATAACCTGTCTTGGCTAGAGAACAATGGACCAAGCGTTGGCACAATATGATAAGTACTTGTGCCCGTGGTTCCAAATCACAGGCATAATCAACTGACAGCGTCCATGGAATCTGTGGTTTCTAACTTTTACTTGACAGAAATGAGCAGAAAGGCTGAATCAATTCCTTCACTCAAGAGATGCGATTGGGAGAAGTGCTTTTAATCAGCATCGAGAGAGTCACTATATGGGTCTTCCTTTTTTCCCTTTGCTCTCACGCTGATAACCCTTTAATAAACTTTAATTGACTATGGTGAAATCTGTTTGACAGTTTAAGCATGCTTAGCTGCTGTTTTTAAGAGTGATGATATAGTCATTCTTGGTACAAAGTATTTATTGTCTGTATTTTGCCTTAGTACCAATATTATTTGAAGCAGGATAATGCTTTGGCTGTACCTAATCCTTTTTTCTGTGCTGAGTGATCTGGCTCACCTGGTTGACCTTGAAGCCGCAAGGTGACTGGGCCAAAAGAGCCAAGAACTGAGAACCTTCTAGATTCCTGTAGCATGATCTCCCCTTGCCAACCAAAATGGGAAGAAGGAAAGGCAAATTCCTGAGCTATCCTCCCCTATGAAGATTTCTCTACTAACCAAGAAATGAGGAAAAGTGAACTTAGGTATGCCAGGCTACCACACTCAATTTCAACCAGAAGGGATCAGAAGAAGTTCTTTTTCCCCAGAAAGGGCATCCCTGCCCCCTGAGACTAGTCACTACTCCACCAAGCCAAGTGTCTGACTCTAGCCATCTACTAATAATCTCAAATTTCTCTAAGAATCTTGTTGTGGTTTTGGTGGTTTGGAGAGAAGAAAGGAAGACTCTATTTGTTGTGAACAAAGGCAAGACATCAAAGTTTCTGGGACTCCCATTTTTCCCAGAGTTAACCACTTCAGAGTCAGGCAGCCAATCCAGTGATGAAGGGCATGGCTCCCTAGGACACAGCTCCCTGGGGTCAAATCCTTGCACAGCCACTTGTAGATGAGTAGGTTTAATCTCTGGGTGGTTACCTTTAATTTTCTCCTGGTTGATTTACCCCACGTGTTTATGTGTTTATTTGGCCTTTTCCCCCCACTGACTGCCAAGCAGTCTGAGATGCTGTTTGACTTGATATGATTTACATATGCATGTGGCAAATAAGAATTCCAGAAGCCAGGTTGTGTGTGTTTGTTTATACACAACTTGTCTTTCCAAGATTGTTTCAGGCACTTTACAATGAAAGGACTTAAATATTGTAGTAGTAAAATAGAAGTCAAGGCCAGGGCTGCAAGCAGAGATTGAAATCTAAAGATGAAGATAATAGGGTTACTGTGATTTAGCTTGCAGTTTAATCCACTGCATGCAGGCAACCAATGCAATAAGGATCTCACAATGAGCTCCACAGCTCTCCATCTAATAGATGGAAGAGTACTTCTTCAAGAGACATCCCTACTGTAATAAATAGCCAAAGTTATGTGAGAATATTAATAATGATTCCAGGATTATAAATAGAAAATTGTTTGGTCAGATGCTTTCTAGAGAGCTGTCTTATCTTTTTGCATGGATGGATGGATGGATGGATGGATGGATGGATGGATGGATGGATGGATCACCACTAACAGCATCATGTAGCTAATAAATATGTCTAGCTTTGCATATCCTGGGCAGGAATGGAAGTGAGAAGAGAGCAAAGAGAATGAGCCACATTCTAATCTGCACTGCATAAACTCATATACAGTCTTAGGAAAATTAGTTTATCTTCCATGGCCTCAGTGTCCTGAACTGTAAACCATCCTTATACTTTTAGTCAAATAGACTAATAGACCTGGGAGGATCGCCTGTTATGCAGCTGTTCTAGCTCTGAAAATCTCTGTGCGCTCTTGTGCTAGTATTAACTCTCAGCTTCTCCTCATCTAAAAAGACTTGGTTGAATAAAATAATCCATGTAAGCACTTAGCATAGTGCCTAGCAGATAGTGTTCTCTAATCAATGACTTTATTATCAGTGAAGAAGATGAAGACCCATTTTCCATGCTACTTTAAGTTTGCAAACTTTACCTATCAATGGTACTCAAAAGTCCCAAAATAATTGCTCTGTGGCCTCCTTCATGTTCATCTACCCATCCCTTCAACCATGGCTATTTTATGCAATTGATTAAGGTTTGTCAATTTTTTTAAGTTCTACAAAAATGTTTGAGGCTTAAAAAAATTAATCTATTCCATAAAAACAAAGTATCTAGGACATTGCAAAATAGAAATAAATATTTAACTCTATATTATTGCAAATTTATTGGAAATTATATGTATTTAATATTTTTTGAGCATTAATAATGTAATCCTACAGGATTTTAGCCCTAGATGGAGAAACTGAGGCATACAGATGCTTAGAAATTTGTTCAAGGTCACAAAGCCACCAGGATTTGAATGAGAAAGCTTCTAGTCTGGGCACTGCACTGTAATACATCTCAAATATCTGCAAAATATAGCAACCTGACAGCTGTTAGCATTCATAAGAAATGTAATATGTTTGAAAATAATTTATAGATCATCCTTTTTTACTTTGCTGGAATTCCAGACTCTGCATAATGATTGTTGAGATGCCAAAGACTTGAAAATGAATGAGTTACCCTCACAAAGTAAAGCATCTCAGAAAGAAAAGCATCTTAAATGGTTTGAACAGAATTTTAAAAAGATTAGTGATGCCTTTGAATGTATGTGCTGGGATCTGAGGTAAACAATCCAAAAGCAGATATGTTCACAACATAGGAAGGTCTTTAATCTGCCTTACTTGCACCTGACTCAAATGAGCAAAACAATTAGATCACTGAGAATCTCACTAATTGAAATAATCTAAGTGAAAGCTGTTCATGAGGTAGTTGGAGTACAGAGTGACTAAACAGACTATATGCCAGTTCTACAAATGAGCTCTCCTTGATTCTTTGGGTAGAAGGCAAGACAGCAGACACCAAGGCCATATCTATGACTAACTGAGAAGCAGACAGAGGAATTTCTGAAAACTAAAAGCAGAGAGAGAGAAAACAGGGATATGAGATATTTCCAAGAGTTACTTGCCCTCTGGAGTCCTCATTTTTGTTAAGATCTAGGCACTCCAGTGCAGCTGGCCCTGATGATTGGACTTTGATCATGTCTGCTATTGGCACCTGGCAGTGCCAGCCTCTCAATTCTTTCCAGACATCCACAGCCTGTGCTCTGCCAGGCTTTCTGAAGAACAAATATGCACTCCCTTGTTTGAAACAGCTATTCAGAGGAAGCCAGTTGGGTACCATATTGATTCCCTTCATTATATCTGATTTTTTGTTTTAGTTGTTGAGTATACTGCGTTAGTCTTCTAGGGCTAGTCTAAAAAAGAACAACAAAGTATCTGACTTAAGTAGAAATTTCTTGTCTCACATTTTCAAAAGCTAGAAATCCAAGATCAAGGTTTCAGCAGGATGTGGCTAATCATATCAGGGGTTTTTTCTAGCTCCCGTTGGTTTTCAGGTAATCTTTGGTATTCCTTGGCTTTTAAAGGCATCACCACAGTCCCATTTCATTTGCTCACAATGTTCTCTCTGAGTCCCAATTTCACCCTTTTTTATAAGAAATATTGCATTAGGGCCTATGCTACTGATCTTCAGGGGTTTTTTTCTAGCTCCCGTTGGTTTTCAGGTAATCTTTGGTATTCCTTGGCTTTTAAAGGCATCACCACAGTCCCCATTTCATCTGCTCACAATGTTCTCTCTGAGTCCCAATTTCACCCATTTTTATAAGAAATATTGCATTAGGGCCTATGCTACTGATCTAATTTTAACTTGATTCCCTCTGGAAAGAGCCTCTGTCCAAACAGAATCATATTCTGAGATAATGGGCATTAGGGCTTTGACACATCTTTTGGGGGTGATTGGAAGGGGGACAATTCAACCCATACTAAGTATCTAAGTTTTCTGCTTACTTTCAAACTGAGTCTTAGTATGAGGTCCAGTCACGCATTTATACATGCCTAAGACTGTATTGAATTAGCTGTTTCTGTACTCATCCCTTTAGCCTAACTCTCCTGAAAAACTCTCACAGAGATTTTGAATAGACTCTTTCCACACTGCAGCTCTGTGCCAGTTGTGAACCTCACCCTCTCTGCAGTGCTCCTGGGGCAGGTGGAGTTGACCAGTTTAGCAGCTGACCTCTTTCTCAGTGGGCTCCCCTGAGGCCCTCATCCAGCACTGGTGGCTAGGAGGGCAAGACAACTCCCAGAAAGAACAGGAACAGACTGACAAGCTGCTTGCCTAGTATACAGTTCAAATTTACAAGGTGAGGACATATAATAATCATAGCTGAAATTGGTTTCAAGAATTCTCAAACTACCCATTGAGATGAGTACACAGCACTGCATTTATCTCATCTGAAGGGCTTGACAGCACCTAAGGAGATAAATACAGGGAAGATGTACTGGAAGAAGCATGGGGCTGAATACAAAGCAATTCTGCTTGTTCTGTCAACTGAGAAAGGGCAATTTAGTATTTGGGTCAGTGTCCTGGGTAGGTAGCACTGTGCTGGTGGACCCAAGTCCCAGCGCCAAGACAAGGCATCCGGGTTGTTTGGGAGATGCAGTGTCTACTCGGTAAGGAAAAGAAAAGGTGGATGGAAGGAAAGGTGCTGGAGAACATAGATAGTCCTCTCAGAACCCAAGTCTCCACTAGCGAAATTTTGAGTTGCCATTTGAGAGCAAGGCCAATAGATGCAGATCATTTGCTTTTCAAGAGAAGCTATGAATCTGGAGTTTTAGTAACATGAAATTGCTAATTTTAGAAATACTAGCCAGTAACTCAGTGTTTGCACTTTGCTTGTTTATTGTTTTAAAATTGAATAGGCTAAAGAATATATATTGATAAGTCAAATATATTCCTTGTACTACTGCTTTAGAACTCCTGTTCAAGAACAATCTTTTGTTTTAAAGCATCAAAATTTAATGTATGTTAACTAAACAATCAGCTACATAGCTATTATTGCCTAGTTCTTGAAATCTGTACATTTAAAGACCTCCTATGTATCCATTAAGCCTAGACAATCTGAATCAAAAAATCCAGCAGAAAACCAGAGTGATTCATGGGTCTCCACAGCATCTTCCAGATGTGTGCCTGTACCTGCTCTCCTGATGAGACAGTTCTCCGGGACAGCAGAAATTAGCCTTTTGTTATGATTGCTATGAGTATCACCAGCACATTATTATAACAGTGATAATAATAGCTTCCAATGACTATTTGTCTTGTATATATAGTATGCATTGTATTTCACTATTGTCTTCCATAACCTTCAGAGCAGTCTGGAAATGCCGGTACTAATTTCTCTTAATTTCCAGTCAAGGAAGTGAAGTTTCATCAGTGAATCATACAGAATTAATACAATGGTAGATTGGGGAGTCCAAGCTACTTATCACAAGTTTTATAGTTCATCCCTTCCCCTATATAGTTCATTGTAGAGTGAAGGGCACATGCTCCTAAACTTTTAGTTTTAAAATTTTTTGTGAAGTTGTATTGTGAATTCTCACATCCCTGAGGGGATTAGAAATAATTCAAGTTAAAATAAAGCAAGAAAGGAGACGGAAAAGAGTAAATGAAAACATTGAAAGGTTTCTTATTATATTGCACTTCTTCGAAAGAAAAACTGCAAGGGAGCCACTTAGTGCTGAAGAACAGTTGTCATGAGCCAGGGTCTCTTTATGATTCAAATTTCAAAACAGCCTGCCTGCCTGCCTGCCTGTAGCAACCTGCATGGAAATGTGTTTAGATATACACTGAGGATGCTTTGGTTGAACTGACAAATTTTTACAGAGAATCTGAGAAGCTCAGGTTAGAATGTAACAAGCAGAGAGAGACTCGGAATGACTAAATTAGATGGAGCAGGAAGTATTTTAAAGGCAAAACTATTGTGACAAACCAGGAAGATAAATATCTCCAGCCTGTCCTTTCCAGGCATCAAGTGAGTTGTAGAAGGTGTGGGAAGCATAATTTCCTCACTCCAAAACTGTTAATTGGTAGCTTCAACTTAGTAGCAAGTAAGTCTGCATTTACTGGTCCATGAAGTATGGTTCTTAGCAAAAATTAGTACTATTGTTATTATTTTAAACTGAATTTGGAAAGTCAGTCTTAGAACACGGCATTCAAGTGTTTTGTGGACATTTTAGTCACAGCTTTGCTGGTTGAGCTTAGTCTGAAGCTTGCCATCCCCTTGGCCCTACCTGCCCCTGTGTTTGCAGGCATCTTTTGTCTCTCAAAGGAACTGATTTCACGGAGTTATTATATATCAGTGAGTGATTATACTTGATTGAAACGAAATAAAGAGGGAGCATGTTACATCAATATTATTTTCTTACATAAAGGAAATTAAAAATAGGTCTTGAGAAGCAAAGAACTTAAACTAAAAAGAAAAAGTGTATGTTCATGGGTAAGAATTTTCCCATTCTGTTTTTGTCCAGATAAAATGATCACTTAATAAACTTGTATAATAAACTCGTGTCTTAGAGATTGTTCTGAGAAATCTGGACTAGGTGGTACACATCTTTTCCAACATTAAGATGCTGAGATAAGAAGATAACAAAATTCAAGCCTAGCCTGGGCAACTTACTGACTTCACAGGACCTTGTCTCAAAATTTTTTTTAAAAATTAAAAGGGCTGAGGAAGTAGCTTAGTGCCAAGGCTCTAGGTCCAATCCCCAGTACCTCAGGAAAAAAGAAGAAAAGAAATTAAATATTTGGTCAAGTGAATAAAGAGAGTCCATGGATAGCTATTTGTACAGAATATTATACTAGATGCTATCAGGGAGGATTTATTATGTGAACTAAATCTGATTCTTACTCTGCGAGGGACTTGCAGCCTTTCAAGCAAGTCCCTGAACCTTGTGTTCCTCTCTTTAGAAGGGGACTAATAATTCCTGCCTCCTAAATCCTACAGAGCTAATGTAATCATTACACAGAATAATAACTTGAAGCCCTTGGAAAACCAGAGTATTTTGCAGTTGCATCCTTAAGAAACTTGGGTTTGGGTCAGACATACAAGGCATGAAAATGTAAAGCAGCCAGCAATGGGCACTGAGTGGTCCACGTTCAAGTCCCAGGCGTTTAATGGTTGACTTAGAATGCCATTGAAAATGAAAGCTAAAAATAGGCCTGTGTGATTAAAGTATGGATTATTCAAAATATCTAAATGATGTGGCAACTACAAATGACTGGCAGCTGCTGAGACAGATAAAATGAACTTTTTTTTTTTTTAGTCATGAATTCTGAGGAAGGCCTGTCCTATCAGGGTTCCTCCAAAGCAATCTAGCTGCCTGTGCTGGGGCATCCCCTACAGAATGTGGAGGGAAGGGAAGGGGACAAAAGCCACCACCAGAATGTATAAGCACCATGCTAAGGACTGCCCCAACTTTTTGGGAAAGGGTATATCCCACCTTTGATTGACTATTCATCTTTAAATTTCAGAAAAGGCCTTGGATCTATGAACATGTGTGAGTATGGTAATTATTGAGCTTTTAACCTTTTTCTGGCTGTCATAAGCAAGCGATTGTAATTTTTGAGAGGAAACTACATGAATTATAATATTTTCTAAATAAAATGGAAAAGGTTCATTATAACTAACAATATATTCCAGAGACTATGTAAACATTTCACATTAATTTAATAATATCACAACTCTAGAAGAGATTATTGCTGAAGAAATTTGGTGGCTTGTTTAAATCACTGTGTTCTTGTTGGCTCTCACTACCCAATATTCAAAGCCAAAGAGACTTCAATTTAACTGCATCATGGTTTATATCTTCAGTTTGGGAAGGTAAATGGGTGACCCTGAGCCTCAGTTTATCCCCTAGAGATACATATTTTCATAGAAAACTAAAAGAGCACTGAAACCAGATGTAGAGGCAGAAGACAATGTTATCCGTATGTGCAGTTGCCACTCAGCCTGTCCTGATCAGCTGTAAACCTCACCAGGAGAATGAAAGCATCTTTTCCTGGTAGATTAACATCTGTCTCTCTTTCCTAGTGCTCTGTTTCCTGTGGTGGTGGAGTGAGGATTCGTAGCATCACCTGTGCCAAGAACCATGGTGAACCTTGTGACAAGACAAAGAAACCAAATAGCCGAGCTCTGTGTGGCCTTCAGCAGTGCCCATCAAGTCGGAGAGTTCTGAAACCCAACAAACCCACAATTCCTAGTGGGAAAAATCTACCAACATCTGACCAAGACCCTGTAAAGCCCACTCCTCCATCTTCATCCCAGCCCACACTGCTGGCTACACCCACAGCGCCTGAGGCTATGAGCACAAGCACTCAGGCAATCAGTAGCCCCAATTCCATCACAACCTCCAAAGAGAAAAACCTGGATGGAGGTCTGGATGGAGAATGCTGGCAGAATACATCAAGCCAAACTGAACAGGACTCCCACTATCTCATTTCCACTGGAAGCACTTCTCAGCCCATCCTTAATTCCTGGTCTTTGGGTGTTCAACCCAATGATGAAAATGGTTCTAGTTCAGTTACTACTCCTACCTCAGATGGAGATATTGTAGTTACAAGTGGTTTTGACTTGTCATCTTCCAACAATGCTATGACTTGGCAAGCAACTCCATTCTATAATACCTTGATCAAAGATCCAGAAATGGAGATTCATAGTGGCTCAGGGGAAGACAGTGAACAGCCTGAGAACAAAGATGAAAGCAACTCTGTAATTTGGAGCAAGATCAGAGTACCTGGAAAGGATGTTCCAATGGAAAAAAATACAGAAATGCCACTTGGAACCCCTCCAACACTTCATGATGGGGATGAATCCTTGTGGCATCCTGTCAGCACAGTGAGGGGAGGATCACTAGCTAGCCAAAGACCCAGTACCCTTAAAAGTGGAACACCCAGAGCTGAAGGAATGGTCACTGAAAAGCCAAGTGATGTCCCATCCCCTGTTGAAGAAGAGCACTGGCCAACACAATCAGAAAAGTCAATAAATCATAACCACCTGGGACTTCCAAACAACAAGAATAAAACACAAGATTCTGAACCAATCCTGACTGAAGAAGATGCAACCAGTCTGATTGCTGAAGGATTTTTGCTGAATGCCTCCAATTACAAGCAGCTTGCTAAGGACCACCGCCCTGCATACTGGATTGTAGGAAACTGGAGTGAGGTAAGAAGTCTGATTTCCCACCCTCGGCCTGATTCTACATAGAAAAGATGAGGAGAGTTGTATTCTCATGCAAACTCTAAAATGAACTCTCATCAAATCATAGCCTAATGTAGAAAAGGTAAAGCAATCAGGTGTATGCTAACACCTCAAATGAAAGGAAGAAAAAGAGAACATATAATAAGAGAAATAGAGCACACATGGGGAGGTGCAATAAAAACAAGTCTGGATTAATTCAGGAGACCTGGTCAGCTGCGTGATTAAGAATTCAGTCATCTTTCTCAGCCTGCTTTTTATCTACAAAATCATATGGTCACTGTAGAGGAGAATGATAAGGCTAGTGCAGATCGTTTCTACTGCTCCCTAGGGCTATAAAACTACAGTGATCCTATGATGAAGCACAGCTGAGTTTAACTTCATATTTTAATCAGAAGGTAATGAAGAGAACTGGTATAAAACTTGTGAAGTAGGATAGGGAATGTAGTTTAGTGGTGGAGGGTTTGCCTAGCATTTGTGAAGCCCAGGGTTCAATCCCCAATACTGGGGAAAAAAATATGAAGTAATCACAAGCAGACTTTCTTTAAAAGAATTCTATAGTTCACTGTATCAGTGATATTTTTCTCTTTTGTCTGAGTATTTGCATTAAAAAATCACTTTAGTTCATTGAAAGAGTTCGAATGAAGTAAATAAATATGTGACAAAATGTTGGCCCCCAGTTTTAGACTTCAGAAAATTAGCTAGATTTTTTTCCATTTCTAGAACAAATGATATCCTTTGGAACACCAAAATCATTTTGCACCTACATGAATTTGTAATGCACAGTGTATGAACTTGTTAAAATAATGTGACAACTCAAAAGAGGATTTTGTGGCCAAGTAATCACATAATGAAATCATTCAACATTTTTATGACATTTTATGCCTCATCCTCTTAGCTAAAGAGATATGAAACATTAACAGCTAATATAAAAATACCAATCATGATTCATAAAGCATGTTAATTTCTAAACTACTTTCACATATAGTCTCTTATATTTTTCCTTTTGACAGTCCTGCAGAGTAAGTATTGTGTTATTTATACTAATTTACAAGTAGAGGAAGAAGTTTCATGGTTAAGCAACTCCTCTAAAAACACACTCTCCAGTTGGATGACTTTTTTTTTTTTTTGGTACCAGGGATCGAACTTGGGATCTTGTGCTTGTGAGAGAGGCAGCAGAACCACTGAGCTAAATCACTGGCCCAGATGATGAACCTTTTAACTTTGTCCTTTCTCTCTAGTTAATTTTGGCACCAGCTGACAACTGTATAGAATATTTTTGTATAAATTAACCAGCCTCACTGGTCATAGAATTGATCATACTATGAATAAATAGGTATATTCAACCCCCACAAATGTTTTGCACCAAATACTATATTTATTTTTGAATTATGATTACACATTGATGTTTTATTTCTAAAGTGAGTTATCACATTTTCTATGAATGAGTAAACAATCTTATTATCTCTATTCACAAGAGTCCAACTTCAGGGATAACAAAGATTTTCATGCTTACAGTACTCTACTTTGCTGAAAGGAGACAAATGACTTCATGATCCAGACATTTTAATCATATTTCTTTCCTAGTCAGTTCTATAGGGCTCTCAGCAATAGAAGATATTGGTAGTGAACTTTTACAAAGCATGCAGCATGCTTTATAGGCCTGATGTTATTATGCTAATTAGCATGGCATCACTCATTTAAACCTTACCACAACCATAGGAGATTGGTAGTATTTTTCCTGTTTTAGAGGTAAATAAACTGAGTCTGACAGAATTTAAGTAGGCAGAACCACTTGCACCATGAGTAATTTAGCAGTAAGTTTTAAGGTTTACACAAAGAAATAGGATGTTGTTAATGTCTAGGAACAAAAGGTACAGTGGATATATTGGATTCAATAGTCTGCAGGTCACAGGTGACTCTGGGAGAACAATTTCAGCTCAGATCAGGGGAAACAACAAATTGCAGTAAACAGGGGAAGCTTTTAGGCATCTACGACAGTCATCAGATGGAGCCCCACATTAGGATGCTGAATAAGATAGGAGGGACCTTTCTTGCTCAGAAAGTTAATACAAAAGTTTTCTTTACAAAAATAGCTGTAGGGTCACCCAGCAATTAGTTTTCTTTCCTATCCTCTCATCTTTTCATCCATCCTCAAATCCCAGAGCAATTGTGGAATTGTTGGATTTGAATGTGTTGTAATGATTCTGTCCTGAGAATATTTAATATACGTTAATAGACAAATGTTAATTGACTCAATGAAGACGACTGCATTCAAAGCAAACTAAACCACTAGAAAGTGCATGTGAACCACCATGACTGTTTGAGCCCAAAGCTTAGCACATTTTGATTATAGTAAATCAAGATACAAATAATTTTAACTCAAATGTCACCATTTGACTTTGACAGAAATAAAGTCGTAATACAATGTAGCTTTCCAGGATGTTGGCAACAGTGGTGGAACCATGAGTAATTGTTAATTACAAGCAGTTTTCTAAAAAATAAAAAATAAAATAAAAATAGCCCATTGCAGTTTTCCAGAGTTACAAGAATATCAATAATTGGAGTGGGAATCCACTTCATGACAGGGCTTGGTGCCTGCTGCCTGTATACATGTTGGTTTTGAGATTTTAAAAAAAGTTTCAGAGGTACAATTGCCAGAGAGGGTCAGGGCTAAGAATGGAAGCTTTGGGTTTTGTGTTTCTCATCATCCCTGATTTTTGCCCTGCCCATTCCTGAAACTTTCTTTTTTTTTTTTTTTTTTTTTTTTTTTTTTTTTTGGTACTAGGGATTGAACTCGGACCCTTGCACTTGCAAAGCCTGCCACCGAACCGCTGAGCTAAATCCCCAGCCCCCCTGAAATTGTTTCTAAGGTTCCTCACCCGCAGGGACCCATATCTTAGAAACTCCGGAATCAACCCTGATATCAATTTTCTCTGTCCTACTAAAAAATAAACTACTGATAGTTTTTCACGTCAACATCACCTCATCATTTCTGTCATCCCCTCGATTTCGTTAAGACCCAGTGGTTTCCACTGAGATGGAGGATTTTGCAAAGAGTAGGGATGCCTCTGCTAGTTACAAAAGGGGGCTGGAACCAGCATTCCAAGTTTGAGAGCCAAGAATAATAAAGGGAAGTCCCTCATGAGGAAGAACTGTCCCGTCTGAAATGCCATCAGTACCCCATCATTGAGAATGCAGAACCCCCTAGGACACTGCCCTTCTTGTCTTACTGGTCTGTACACTCCCTTCTCATGTCTTCCACACATGATTGCAAGAGATGTGAGACTGCCAAGTCTGCCTTCCAAAAGAAATATTCTTTTTTTGTTGTTGTTATCGGAGATTGAACTTGGGACCTTGCACTTGAAAAGCAGGCACAGAAACCACTGAGCGAAATCCCCAGCCCAAAAAGGAATATTCTTAATCATACCAAAGTGCTGCTTACAGACATATGCAACATGTAGCCCATGAGCTGGACACACTTATTTTAAAATATTTTTTTAATTTTGTTACTTTTATACATTAACTGTATTATTTATTTTATATTGAGGTAAATACAATTCCTCTTAACTCAAGGCAGCCCATGCAAATGAGGCATCTCCAACCTGTGGCCCGAGTACTTCATAAAGTAACAGATCAGATAAAATCCACTCTCATTTAGCACCCAATAGCCTTCAAACCTGACATAATCTGGCTTTCAAACGTTACTGCCCCCAACTTTGCGTCATCCATCTTATACTTCAACAAATCTAAATTTCTCAGTTTCCTTTAAACCTTTCCCTCTCCCCATCTAGTGCCACTATTGATGCTATTTCCTCTGCTTGGGATTTCCTCCCCTCCTCTCCCCTTCTAAATTCTACTTATTCTTCAGGATCATTTTTTTTCTTTTTCTCATTGATTTTATTGGTACTTTTTAGGAATACAGTACAGTTCCATTCATCATTGAGATCTTGTACCTTAACATGACAAGTCTTGGTTCTTCTTTTTTCCCCATACCCCTGCCCTCTCTTTACCCCCTCCACCCTTCCCTACTTACAGTGACTTTGCTTCCATATTTTCATTTTCTCCTATTTTTTCCCCTTATTTCCTTTCCCCTACCCTTCCCACTTCCCCTACACCATTAGCCCCTTTCTTCCTATTTCACATTGTCAATTATACCATTTGGATCTTTTTTACACTTTTAGTTTTTCATACCAGAGAAACTATTCAGTATCTTTATTTCACTTAAGAGTATGGCTTCAATATGCATCCATTTTCCTATGAATGATTTTAATTTCTCCCTCTTTATGGCTGAGTAGTATTTCATTTTATAGAAAAACCACATCTTTTTTATCCAGTCTCCAACTGATGGCCATTTGGGCTGTTTCCAAGATTCAGGATCAAGGTTTGAACTTCCTCTTCCATAAAGCTTTTTGATCTCCAAGCCAAGAAATTGTGTCTAAAGTTTATTAGGGTATGGGTGGAGTCTTTCTTAAGATGTACTCCCACTTCTTGCCCTGCACTGCAAGACTATTCAAAGCTCCCTTTACATATAGCACTTGTTTTACTAATTGAGGTTTCAAAAATTAAATAACTGGCATAACAACCAAGTTAACACTATAAAGAGGCATATAGCTTCAAACTGAGTTTTCCGAATTTGAATCCTAACTCACTTGCCAACTATATGTTCTTATTCTTTCTCAGTTTCCTCATCTGTAAAATGGGGATGATAATTCCTGACTCACAAGATTATGAGCTAAAACAAATAATTGTCTATAAAGTACTCAGAAGTGTGTCAGGCAAATGGAAGGTACTCAGGAAGTGTTTGCTCTGGCCTATAGGTACAAAATAGAAAACTTCAGGGCCACAGAATGCCCATGAGTAGGGCTTTTATTTTGACAGAAATTCACCCCTCCTTGGATTCTGCATCATTCAGTCATTTCCCCTGGGCCAGTCAGTTAGATATAGGCTCTGCAGTCCTGCAGAATGAAAGTGACAGCATGATTTTCCATGGCCTTTCAGAGCAGCTTTCACAGAATGCTGATGTGACCCTCAGAATCAGTTCCAGTTCTGAACCCCCCAGCACCTGCTCCTTGACCAGATCGATCCATTGCTGTAAGGTCATTAACTGTGACAAGGATGAGCAAAATAAAGCTGTTCTTCCACCTCTTCCAAGCTCTCTTTTCTTATCACTTCTCCCACTCCCAATTTGAAACTAATTTAATTAGTAAAAATCTAACAGAAAGAATCTCACTTTTACTTTTACTATGTTCCATGGGCTTCCTCTTTTTACCTTTCCTTTGTGTTTTTTGCCTCAATAGAAACTGTCAAAAGAATTAAACAAATTTTTGTTCCTCAGTAGGACTACGTTCAGAAGCTCAGAGATAACGTGCATTTATTTGCAATATAAATGTGGTACAAACAACTACAGCCATCGCTTGAGAATTAATGAGATTGTCACTGGCCTGAAAATTTGTTCTCCTCAATTTTCCCGCATTTGGCCAAATGCCATATTTTCCCTGACCTTCAGCATAACGCCTAAACTCTGTTGGTCCCAATGTCTGGAAACTGGGGCTTGTGATCCTGTGCTCACAGATGTGTAGTGCTCAACAGGTAAAACTTGTAGCACACTGGCTGTGTATGAAGCAATGTACATGGACAATCCCTGTTAGTCCTCATAACCATCCATTAAAGGAGGGAGGTCCTGGTGTTACCACCAGTTTTACAGGCTTCAGACAGTTAGGAAACTGTGAAAGATCTCATTGTTTGCAACTGCAGAACTGTAATTGTACCCTCAGGTAAAAGATTTACCTGGTTGTCAGGTGCCTGCCTCAGGGTCAGCAGACCCTGGCTGGTCTGGGATGGCCTGGGCCGAGTCACCTGGCTGTGCTTCACATAAACTCTCACCCTCTAGTATGTCCAGGTTTACTACTCATGGTAAGGAAGAGGTTGAAGGGCTAGGATGGAAATCAAGACCTTTGGAGAAATAGCACATCATTCACTACATCCTGTCAGTCAAAACAAAAACAGCCCTAATTCAAGAGCTAAAGAAACTCTTGATGAGAGAAGCTGCAAACAGCACAGATGAAAGGAAGTATGAACAGTTGGGCCACTGGTGCAATTTGTGGTCATAGCACATCAGCTGTTACCATCTCTACTACGTGGATGCATGGTATAGTACAAAGGAGAAAGATAGGCACTTACAAAAGATGCAGATTAATTCTAAAAAACTTTAAAGAAGAGATGAGCCTGCCTCTACATAAATGAACCTTTGGATAAGACGGTCACATAGGCTATTTCCTACTTCTTCCTTTCTATGATTCTACAATTTATGCATTATGTTATACGTATAAACTTGTTATTATACAAGATTTTGAACCAAATGAAACATAAAATTATATGGAGTATAAAGATGCAGCAAAAGAAACTTAAGGTTTGTGTTGACTTGAATAATTCACCAAAAGAAACATTCAAAGTGGAGCTTCTTAAACGTCTCCTTTTAAAAGTTACCTCAGAGCTGTGCTTCATGTGTTCAGAGACAACACCTCTTCTGATAATCAGAAAAGGGGAAGAAGAAAAATCAATCCTATGTAGGAATAAAGCAGATAAAATGTAAGAAACTATGGGGGAAATTTTGCATCATCTGCCAGGTGACCCTGAGCTAAACCTGGGATATTTAAGAATTATAAATAAATGAAAATACCTTGCGAGAATGGGCTACACATGAAGCAAAAGATGACCAATGTAGTCACCACCAGTGGATCAAGCAGTGTGACTTCTTTCTAATTCCAAGTGTGGTCTGAGGGCCAAAGACAATGACATCACCTGAGATATTGTTAGAAATGCAAAATATCCACCCCACTGCAGATCTACGGTATCAGAAGATGCACTTAGCAAGACCCCAGGTGCTTCCAAAGGTCCCTAGAGATGGAGGAACACTGCTGTAATGCACAACAGACTGGATTTTGGAGGCAGAAACCCCATCTTACTGGTTGGCAAGTCAACTCTCTAAGCTTTATTTTGGTTATCTACATTTTAGTGAGCCCAGGCTACATCATACCGAAAGGAGTTAGTGAGATAATGCAGTGCAGTGCTAGATGGGCATGAAGTAAGAGATAGATGCTGGGATCTCTCATCCACGCTGAGCAGCACTGGTGTGAAACAACACAATGTGCCCACAGCCCATAGGCCTCTGTGCCAGAACAAAATGTAAAGGCAAACATATTTTCATTTACACTGGATTTTTTCCTACATATAAGTCAGGGACTCTCATCTCCACCTGCTTCCTAAAGACGACTTGGAGAAATTTTTTTCTATACTGGTCCCTGGATTCAGTTAATTTGTGTAGGTGTGGGCACCCGCATTAATATCATTTCAGTGCTCTGCAGGCAGTCTTAGCAGCTGGAGCAGATAACCCCAGCTCCAGGATCCCAGTGATGGAAGCAGCCCTCAGCCTGTTTCCTCTCTTCTCACCCGGCAGTGCTCCACCACGTGTGGTCTGGGCGCCTACTGGAGAACTGTGGAGTGCAGCACGCAGGTGGACACGGACTGCGCTGCCTTCCAGAGGCCCGACCCCGCCAAGAAATGCCACCTCCGCCCGTGTGCCGGCTGGAAAGTGGGAAACTGGAGCAAGGTAAGCTGTCAGGCCGTGTCTTGGCCTGAGAGGAATAAAAGGCGCTTTCTCTTCTTTCCCACCTTTCTGCCTCCTTTCTTTTAGAAAACAACGAATGAATAAATCACTGGTGCTAAGTGTGGGCCAGAAGTCTTGGAAGTCCGGAGTTTTTATTAACCCACACAGTTTTAACTGCTTGTCTTTTCCCTTACAAGATAAACTGGAATAGTTATATTTGCATAATTAATTGCTTTGTCCAGGATGCGATGTTATTTTGAAATTATTTCAATTTAGCATCATAATGAATAATTATATATTATCACATATATAATTAAATCACAGCTCAGCAGCTCTTCACAAAACAAATACACAGCTTAATCTGCCAGATGTAAACTGAAAAGAAACCCAAGACATAAGGGGTAATTTGGTTTTTAAAAATATATTTGCATTATTTTTCTTCCTCATTAAGTTTATTGGAACATTTTAGGTATACAGCACAGTTACATTCATCATTGGGATCTTGTACCTTTACATGACAGGTCTTGGTTCTCATATTTTCCCCATACCCCTGCCCTCACTTCAACCCCTCCTCCCTTCCCTATTTACAAACACTTTATTTCCATTTTTTCATTTTCTCATATTTTTTTCTTTTCCCTTATTTGCTTTCCCCTACCCTTCCCACTTCCCCTACACCTTTAGCCCTTTTCTTCCTATTTCACATTGTCAATTATCTCATTAGGATCTTGTGTACTATTATAGTTTTTAACACCAGAGAAACTATTTGGTATTTACAAATGTGTGACTTATTTATTTTACTTAGGAGTATATCCTCAATATGTATCCATTTACCTAAGACTAAATCTAATTTCTCATTCTTTATGGCTGAGTAGTATTCCATTTTATAGAAAAACTACATCTCTTTTATGCATTCTCCAACTGATGGACAAATGAGCTGTTTCCAAGTTTTAGCTATTACGAACTGTTCTGCTATAAGCACAGGTGCACGTATGTCACTGTGATATGATTCTTTTAATTCTTTTGGAAAGATGCCCAGCAGAGGAATGGCTGGGTCAAATGGAACCTCTAATCCCATGTCTTTGAGGTATTTCCATATTGATTTCCATGGTGGTTGCACCAATCTGCACTCCCACCAGCAATGGAGAAGGGTTCCTTTCTCCCCATAGCCCCACCAACATTTGTTATTGGTTGATTTCTTGATAGCAGACATTCTTTGTGGGGTGAATTTGAATCTCCGTGTTGTTTTCATCTGCATCTCTCAAATGACCAGCGATGTGAAACATTTTTTCATATATTTACTTGCTACTTTTACTTCTTTGTCTGAGAAATGTCTGTTCATTTTAGATGCCCATTTTTGAATCAGGTATTTATATTTGGGGGGACTGATTTTTTTGAGTTCTTTATATATTCTAGATAATAGTTCTACTTATTCTTCAGGATCATTTTTTTTCTTTTTCTCATTGATTTTATTGGTACTTTTTAGGAATACAGTACAGTTCCATTCATCATTGAGATCTTGTACCTTAACATGACAAGTCTTGGTTCTTCTTTTTTCCCCATACCCCTGCCCTCTCTTTACCCCCTCCACCCTTCCCTACTTACAGTGACTTTGCTTCCATATTTTCATTTTCTCCTATTTTTTCCCCTTATTTCCTTTCCCCTACCCTTCCCACTTCCCCTACACCATTAGCCCCTTTCTTCCTATTTCACATTGTCAATTATACCATTTGGATCTTTTTTACACTTTTAGTTTTTCATACCAGAGAAACTATTCAGTATCTTTATTTCACTTAAGAGTATGGCTTCAATATGCATCCATTTTCCTATGAATGATTTTAATTTCTCCCTCTTTATGGCTGAGTAGTATTTCATTTTATAGAAAAACCACATCTTTTTTATCCAGTCTCCAACTGATGGCCATTTGGGCTGTTTCCAAGATTCAGGATCAAGGTTTGAACTTCCTCTTCCATAAAGCTTTTTGATCTCCAAGCCAAGAAATTGTGTCTAAAGTTTATTAGGGTATGGGTGGAGTCTTTCTTAAGATGTACTCCCACTTCTTGCCCTGCACTGCAAGACTATTCAAAGCTCCCTTTACATATAGCACTTGTTTTACTAATTGAGGTTTCAAAAATTAAATAACTGGCATAACAACCAAGTTAACACTATAAAGAGGCATATAGCTTCAAACTGAGTTTTCCGAATTTGAATCCTAACTCACTTGCCAACTATATGTTCTTATTCTTTCTCAGTTTCCTCATCTGTAAAATGGGGATGATAATTCCTGACTCACAAGATTATGAGCTAAAACAAATAATTGTCTATAAAGTACTCAGAAGTGTGTCAGGCAAATGGAAGGTACTCAGGAAGTGTTTGCTCTGGCCTATAGGTACAAAATAGAAAACTTCAGGGCCACAGAATGCCCATGAGTAGGGCTTTTATTTTGACAGAAATTCACCCCTCCTTGGATTCTGCATCATTCAGTCATTTCCCCTGGGCCAGTCAGTTAGATATAGGCTCTGCAGTCCTGCAGAATGAAAGTGACAGCATGATTTTCCATGGCCTTTCAGAGCAGCTTTCACAGAATGCTGATGTGACCCTCAGAATCAGTTCCAGTTCTGAACCCCCCAGCACCTGCTCCTTGACCAGATCGATCCATTGCTGTAAGGTCATTAACTGTGACAAGGATGAGCAAAATAAAGCTGTTCTTCCACCTCTTCCAAGCTCTCTTTTCTTATCACTTCTCCCACTCCCAATTTGAAACTAATTTAATTAGTAAAAATCTAACAGAAAGAATCTCACTTTTACTTTTACTATGTTCCATGGGCTTCCTCTTTTTACCTTTCCTTTGTGTTTTTTGCCTCAATAGAAACTGTCAAAAGAATTAAACAAATTTTTGTTCCTCAGTAGGACTACGTTCAGAAGCTCAGAGATAACGTGCATTTATTTGCAATATAAATGTGGTACAAACAACTACAGCCATCGCTTGAGAATTAATGAGATTGTCACTGGCCTGAAAATTTGTTCTCCTCAATTTTCCCGCATTTGGCCAAATGCCATATTTTCCCTGACCTTCAGCATAACGCCTAAACTCTGTTGGTCCCAATGTCTGGAAACTGGGGCTTGTGATCCTGTGCTCACAGATGTGTAGTGCTCAACAGGTAAAACTTGTAGCACACTGGCTGTGTATGAAGCAATGTACATGGACAATCCCTGTTAGTCCTCATAACCATCCATTAAAGGAGGGAGGTCCTGGTGTTACCACCAGTTTTACAGGCTTCAGACAGTTAGGAAACTGTGAAAGATCTCATTGTTTGCAACTGCAGAACTGTAATTGTACCCTCAGGTAAAAGATTTACCTGGTTGTCAGGTGCCTGCCTCAGGGTCAGCAGACCCTGGCTGGTCTGGGATGGCCTGGGCCGAGTCACCTGGCTGTGCTTCACATAAACTCTCACCCTCTAGTATGTCCAGGTTTACTACTCATGGTAAGGAAGAGGTTGAAGGGCTAGGATGGAAATCAAGACCTTTGGAGAAATAGCACATCATTCACTACATCCTGTCAGTCAAAACAAAAACAGCCCTAATTCAAGAGCTAAAGAAACTCTTGATGAGAGAAGCTGCAAACAGCACAGATGAAAGGAAGTATGAACAGTTGGGCCACTGGTGCAATTTGTGGTCATAGCACATCAGCTGTTACCATCTCTACTACGTGGATGCATGGTATAGTACAAAGGAGAAAGATAGGCACTTACAAAAGATGCAGATTAATTCTAAAAAACTTTAAAGAAGAGATGAGCCTGCCTCTACATAAATGAACCTTTGGATAAGACGGTCACATAGGCTATTTCCTACTTCTTCCTTTCTATGATTCTACAATTTATGCATTATGTTATACGTATAAACTTGTTATTATACAAGATTTTGAACCAAATGAAACATAAAATTATATGGAGTATAAAGATGCAGCAAAAGAAACTTAAGGTTTGTGTTGACTTGAATAATTCACCAAAAGAAACATTCAAAGTGGAGCTTCTTAAACGTCTCCTTTTAAAAGTTACCTCAGAGCTGTGCTTCATGTGTTCAGAGACAACACCTCTTCTGATAATCAGAAAAGGGGAAGAAGAAAAATCAATCCTATGTAGGAATAAAGCAGATAAAATGTAAGAAACTATGGGGGAAATTTTGCATCATCTGCCAGGTGACCCTGAGCTAAACCTGGGATATTTAAGAATTATAAATAAATGAAAATACCTTGCGAGAATGGGCTACACATGAAGCAAAAGATGACCAATGTAGTCACCACCAGTGGATCAAGCAGTGTGACTTCTTTCTAATTCCAAGTGTGGTCTGAGGGCCAAAGACAATGACATCACCTGAGATATTGTTAGAAATGCAAAATATCCACCCCACTGCAGATCTACGGTATCAGAAGATGCACTTAGCAAGACCCCAGGTGCTTCCAAAGGTCCCTAGAGATGGAGGAACACTGCTGTAATGCACAACAGACTGGATTTTGGAGGCAGAAACCCCATCTTACTGGTTGGCAAGTCAACTCTCTAAGCTTTATTTTGGTTATCTACATTTTAGTGAGCCCAGGCTACATCATACCGAAAGGAGTTAGTGAGATAATGCAGTGCAGTGCTAGATGGGCATGAAGTAAGAGATAGATGCTGGGATCTCTCATCCACGCTGAGCAGCACTGGTGTGAAACAACACAATGTGCCCACAGCCCATAGGCCTCTGTGCCAGAACAAAATGTAAAGGCAAACATATTTTCATTTACACTGGATTTTTTCCTACATATAAGTCAGGGACTCTCATCTCCACCTGCTTCCTAAAGACGACTTGGAGAAATTTTTTTCTATACTGGTCCCTGGATTCAGTTAATTTGTGTAGGTGTGGGCACCCGCATTAATATCATTTCAGTGCTCTGCAGGCAGTCTTAGCAGCTGGAGCAGATAACCCCAGCTCCAGGATCCCAGTGATGGAAGCAGCCCTCAGCCTGT